TTACGTATGGCCGTAAAGTCCATTTCTATATTAAGTAATCAGAAACGGAAGAAGCCGCAAGTGAGATGTGCGGAGCGGTGAAGACCGAAAATGAGTAAAATAAGATGAAGTAAAAGATGAATGAACGGGAAACACTCAGTAAGCCTTCATTGCGTAAAAACCCGGAAGCCCAAAATATCGGGAAGTCCCGGAGACCTCGGAACTTTGGAAAAGCTCGAAATAGCTCGGAAGCTGCACGGATATAACAGTGGCATTGTAGTGCCTGTATCGCACTCCTTCTGTGTTGAGTCCCTCCAGAATTAGAGCTGACACGAGTAGGTCGGCTTTGTATATTCCACCCCGAGGAATACCCTATTGAATCGGGATTCAACGTCGGAGTCGGCGGTACGAGTCGAAATCTCCCTGAAGGCCCAGGCCATCTCATGTGTGTACATCCCAGCAGGCCAAGCACCAAATCCAGCGGGCACCAAGACATGCCCCCTGTCCGGGCCGTCCCACAGAGTATCAGCAGCGTTGATATCGATACTGCTATCTGATGAGCGCTCCTGCTTGACAATCACCTCAACGCTTGCGGAATGGGAGCGGGAACGAGACCGCAGCGGGAATAGTGGTGATGGCGGAGAGCTTGTCAGATCGATCAGCGCAGTCGAGATTGATGGCCTGGTGGATAATGCTAACAGAGTGGACGCTGAAGGGAACACTGGGCTGGGACTATGCAGAGCAGGACGTGAATGGCACGGGTGTGATCCAGTCGTCCGCGCAACTTGAACTACACAGTTGGAATGGTCCTGCTCGTGGTCTGGCTTGCGTTTTGAGGTGAGTGAAGTGGTCGCTTTGCCAGATTTATGCGCAGGGGCGTGAAGCTCAATCATCTTGTTGATGTCACAACAGACGGTGACATTGATGCGGCGCACAAGTATGTCTGCTGCGCGACAACTTGGAAGGTAGTGTTTATATCTTCATGCCGCCATAGCCCAGAGGGAAAATCATATATTGAGAGCTTGTTGTTTGGCGTAAGCCCCATCTTGCAAAGGAGATTTGGGCATTCAGATAGATTGAAGTAGGGAAGGGTGGAGAGGACTTGCTCGTGGAAATGATCTGGGTCCTTGTTGTCCTAGATGACGATGGTGAGCAAGATGAGACACACTGCAATCCAGCTACAGACGCACCTCAGCAAAAAAGCAAATCTGAACCTCGTTCTGGAGGCGTCTCGCCTGCAACCGCTTTGCCGCCTCCTCCTCCTCCTTCTTTTGTTAGTTGGTGATGCCCACTTTGTACTGGGCCTCCCAGGCGTTGTTGTCCAGAGGTTTGCGGTAAAGCTTGGCGGAAAGAGGAGCAGCGGGACCATCAAGGGGTAGTGCAGAAGCAGACATAGATGCAGGAGGGAAAACAGCTGGCGGGTGTGCCAGCGCAGAGGGATTTCCATTGGAGGCGGTGGGGCGCATAGTGGCAGCCCTTGTTCTGCTCTTGGCAGCATTGCTTACAAAAGTTGTGAGTGCATCCCTTAGCATTGGCCAAACGACCACAATTCTTGCGGGCACATCCAGGTTTGGATCTTGCAGCAGGCTGCGCATTGACAACGGTGTTGCTCGGCGGGTGTGGAAGAGGAGCTAGCTAGTTGGTGTTATGGATATACGCTAGTTGCACGGCCTAGTTAGCCTCGATGTACTCCTATTACCTTTCTCGACTTGTTACGACCAAGTTCAACATGTGTTTGCCTTTGTTGTTCTGAGTCACTTGACTCAGCATCAGCCGCCGGAGCTGATAGCCGGATCCCGGTGGTTGAACCTCGACTCAGTCTGAGTCAAGAAGTGAAGTGTGACTCATAGATAGCACTTAGTAAGCTATGTAGATGATTTGTATAAATACTTCGTGTCGGTTCCAGGAACCGGCACTCGATCTTGAATACATACTTCCATCATCTCTTTCTCAGCGTGAATTAAGTGAGACATTCTAAGCACGTTGTATAACTGCTTCGAGAGTTGAACGACCTGAATCTTACCTGATGCAGTAGCTCAGTTAAGCATTTGGAAGCTGTCCTAAGTGCTGTACGCCTGAGCGCTGCGCACACATTTTACGTGTTTTAACCGTAATTTGGCAGGTCACACTGACATCGACGCAAGCCTCCTTGCGGTAAGGATTTGATTGAATCTAGTAGCGGCATGCTTTACAAGTGTAAAGTAAGCTGATCTCTAACAGTTGGGGAGGTGGTGGCAAGCCTTGGATCTAGAACTGGGATCCTGGGGGTTGGCGAATGGAAGGCTTCGTTTCGACCAAATGGGTCGTTGTTGCTGGGGCCTTGGCCAGGACTAATCACGTACAGGTCGGTGGAGGGCGATGGAGGTGGTATCCATCGGAAGAAGTCGCAGTTGTTGCACTTGAAATTGTTAAGATGGAGAGAAGTTCACCATTAACGGGATGCACATACCATCTGAAACCACAAATCCTTGTGTGCGGGGTTTTTGGTACCGCGGTATTGGAGACGAGCAGGAATTTGGTTATCGCATGTTGGGCAATAGATGTATAACACCATTGGTCTCGAGAAGTTTTGTGCTGGGTGGGCACGTTGTTCAGAAGCACTGCTGCGAGGAAGAGGTGAGTGAAGAAGAGCAATGTCACGAACATGGGAAGTGTCACAATGTTACATCCCAGTAACACGAAGTCACACAGTCTATGAAGTATATCAAGTCTACCAATTCTACACGACTTGTTGAAGTATACAAGGTCTACAAGGTTTACGGCCATCTCCCAGGTATACCAAGTATCTCGTATACCTACATATACTTCTGTATTCATGTATGTTCTCAGGAACTTGTCCACATATATTACCTACATTTTAAAGTTCATTCTATTTTAGAGGCCGGCGACTTGAATAGTTGGATTATATTTTGCGAGGCTAAGTTCAGAGGAGGGACCTTATGATAGCATGGTAGTATACATCTATGGGACTATACAAGTAGAATACCCACATCTACAAATTCACTCTCATTGAGATGCCTGAGATGTTTGAAGAGCTACACTGAACTTCAGTTGCATTTGAACCGTGGGCTCAGTAAGAGTCACCTTAGTCTCGGACCGACCCTCATGACATCCCAATTTGGGAACCCTGTCATGAGGGTCTGGGCTGTAACCAGCCAAACAACCGTACATGGAGCTCTTGATTTGCGCTTTTTGGTGTTGTTCAGGGACTTCTCAACCATTTTTCACAAAAGTTTGGAGCAAGATGTTGAGATATGTACTACTAAAGCTCCTCAGAATATTTTCAAATTTATTTGTGGCCTTATTTCTATCTACTGAAGGTTGCGAAGTTCTGGGGTCCTAGTCGGGCTGTGAACACCGGTCTCCTTGGTGGCGAAAAAGCCGGGGTCTCAGTTTGAGAGCTCCATGTACGGTTGTTTGGCTGGTTACAGCCCAGACCCTCATGACAGGGTTCCCAAATTGGGATGTCATGAGGGTCGGTCCGAGACTAGAGTCACCTGGGGTCTGCCAATGGTAACTTGGTTATCCCAGAAATCCTTGGAAATGGAACTGGAGAAAAGACAAGTGAGAACAAAGTATTTTGCTAAGACTGGACAAGTTAACTCATTATTGTCCACCAACAACAAGTAATCCTCAGCTTGGGACACTTGGGACATCTCAAAACATCAGGCCGTCCTTTGTCCATCATCTAGTGTTTCCCTTTCCAACTTTTTCTGGTTAGATGTACATATTTTCATGATGTCTGATCCATGACATTTGATAACATATCAGGCAATCTTTACACTGTGTACATGGTATGTTAACATTAGTCATCATGGAATTTATTTGCAATGAACTTGCTTAATGACATTTCTGGTCTGCCTATGTCAATGAATTTTGAGTCTTTAGTTGCCAGTTGTTACCTGGTTACCTGCTCATTCATTTAAGACTAATGTTGCTGTGACTCCACCTGATAAGACCACCATACCCCACTAATTAGAGGGGTCATTCTGATAGGGTTGGCACCTCTAGTAGAGGGTCTTTCAAATGATTTAGTGCTATTTGCAATAAAACTTCCAATACTTCGCAATAATAAAGAATGCGCGGCATACAACCACTTTGAGCATACCCTTCCGTATACACTGCTGCATTTGCATACGCTACGCACATTGACCCAACATCCTGCTGCTGGTGTTAACCAAAAGAAAAAAAGAACAAAACAAGATAAATTGATTGAAAAATGGAGATTAAATACAGAGAAAAAAAAGACAATGTAGGCACACCCAATGGGAAATCTGCACTGCCGCTGCAGCCCCATGTTGTAAATTTGCTGACCTAGGTGCATCTGACATGCTCTTGCATACCACCACACCATGTGCGTCCATCGACCACCCACCACCCTAAATTCTCAATCATGATAAAGAAAAACTGACCTAGGCGCACCCAACATGCTCTCATGCACCTGATTCAATGCCAACTGCCTGCCGCCGTTGCTGCCTACAGTCATTAATTCACGGAAATATCACCATAAAAAAGAACTGATGTAGGTGCGCCCAACATGCTCTTGCAGGCCGCCATGCACACCCATTGTGGGCCCGATCCGATGCCGACTGCCTACCGCTCTAAATTCAAACATGAAATAATAGCGAGTCTGCACAACAGCCATTCAATGGCTACCAAAAATGGAGAATTTCAATATACTCGCAACTGTTATATCTGTATGTCTCGACCTTATAGCATCCTCCGATGCCTCCGAGATATTCTGATCAAAACGGAATGTTCTGGCGTCCAGAATTCTGGAGGCCAATGAAACCGGGTTTTTCTGCAATGAAGGATTACTGAGTGTGTCCTGTTTTTTTTTCTCCTGTTTTTCCCTTGTTCTAATTTTTACTTACTTCTTGAGTGGACTTCACCGCTCCGCGGCTTTGACTTGCGGCTTCGTCTGTTGTGAGCCATCACACTGTGATAGCTCCCAACGTGACCTCAAAACACCAAACTCCAAGAACAACAGCTTAAGAAAAATGATATCCGGACCCAACACATAGCTTGACGGAGAATCGAACTCCGGACTTTCCGTCAAACAATATGCAAACATTTCACAAGGTACACGGAATGTGTTACCATTACACCAACAAGCCATTCAAGAGCTGAAATCGAATGACTGCCAAGGACCGACTCTGAGTTAAAAATGTACCTGGACCCAACTACTGGCTTGACGGAGAAGAACCTTCCGTCAACCTATATGCAAATGCTGTAGATCCATGGAGCACGTTACCACTGCGCTACCAAGCCATTCAAGAAGTCAAACCACTAAGGACCAACTCCGAGTTAAAAATGCTATCTGGACCCAATCCATGGCTTGATGGAGAATCGAACTCCGAACCTTCCATCAACCGATATGCGAATGCTGTAGGTACACGGAGTGCGCTACCATTACGCCACTAAGCCATTAACCGGACTACCAAAAATGCCAATAAAACCATTGCCTTGAAAAGAATGGTTATTGTCAAGGCTTGACGAAGAATCGAACTTCAGACCTTCCGTGATATGCGAACATTATATATCGCTACAGAGCGCGTTACCACTATGCCAACAAGCCGTATGAGTGGCCGAGACGATTGCTGTAAAAAGAAGGGTTTCCGTCGGAATGGCTCAACGGAGAATCGAACTCTGGACTTTCCGTCAATCAATATGAAAATGCACTAGATCATCATGGAGTGCGTTACCATTATGCCACCGAGCCATAGGAATCAAACGGCCAGCCAAAACTATCGCCATGAAAAAGAAGGGTTTTCTTCATAATGGCGCAGCAGAGAATCGAACTCCGAACTCTCCGTAAAGCATACCGCGAAATACATAGGGATGCGGAGTGCGATACCATTACGCCCCTGAACCGTTCAAAAACGAGCCCTATCTTCTTACTCGATGGACAAAAAGAATGTAAGGCCTGTCGGAGATTTGAACTCCGGTCCCTCCATTATTTCAGTTTCCTGCCAGCTACGCAAACAGAGTGCGTTACCACTACGCCACCGGACCATGTGTGCGAGCGATACGAAGGTCCGAAGAGGCGCATGAAAAAAGGAATGGAAAAGAGGGATGACTCAACGGAGGATTGAACTCCGGACTTCCTGCAAAAGACGCGCTTGTGCAAGAACCATGGCAGGATGTGTTACAGTTACGCCATCGAGTCGCAAATACCAAACGGCCCAAAGGGATGGAACGAGGACTCCGGGTAATCAAAAAGGTGGGTAGCATGGGAAAAGGGCTCGATGGAGGATTGAACTCCAGACTCTCCGTAAGTCAAACACTGGGGTGAAAGGATACGGAGTGCCTTTCCACTACACTATTGAGCCGTCGCAGGCGGAAGCCGTATAGGAAGAGAGTTAGGACCGGACATGGAGTGTCTGAGACTAGGGCCAACAAGTCCGGGTTGTGGAATCGGTGCCTGACTGAAGATGGTGCGGGTAAGGGTTCACGGAGTTCTAGAATGAGTCATAAGCGAACTCCGGGGCGGAGGAGCGTGCGAGCGAGCAGGTATGGGACACAAAGGAACAACTCCGGCACAGCCTTGGCCTGGGGTATAAATGCTACAGCTAGTCTACCAGAATATCATCTCAGTTTCGGCCCACATCCTCACCTTCTAAGCCTTAGCCAGCTTCGGAGTAGCTAAATATCCGTCCCGAACATCACCTAGAGGTCACCCGGAGTCGAGTTACACAGTAAAGTGACCCCAGTACTCCCTCGCCGCCGTCAGACAGCGAACAGAGTTTATATTTCGGCATAAAAAGTTCCGCGCCGGAGAAATTGAACCATTTATTCCTCCCCTACGCAAGTGGGGCAGTGAAATCTCTCAAACAGCACAATGAGGTCTTCGGAGTTTGTGTGTAGCTGCTAGCGAAGGAAGCTGGCGGTTGAAGTCACCTTCAGCAAGCAAACGGGTGAGAAGTAGAGAGAGGAAACTTCGTAGAGGCACAAAGAGGGGTAAAGGGAGGAGAAATTGCCGGAACGTCATCACGAACACATGAATCCTCCGGTCTTACAATCTACGACTCAAAGATACTTCGGACGACTGTGGTTCATGGTCCAGGAAGCCCCTAAAATCCATATTTCACCTCGGACTTGACGAATTGGACCCCGCATTGCCTTCCGAAGCTCCTCCTCCGAGGAAGTGTAGAACAGATTCAATCTCTGTTAACCCAAGAAGGCTAACTAGGTATCGGAGTTCGCTTGGTCCACCCTAGCTAGTAGGATTTTGAACCAACTGTTCAAATCCTTGTACGGTTATCCCCACCAATATTATTTAAACCTCCCTATGTACTTGTCTACCATGACAGAACAAATTCCCCCTAGAGGACGAGCATTTAAACATAGCCTGGATCTCCCCACCATCTGGAAGTTTAAAGCACCGCAGTCCGCATCACAGCGGGGGTAGCGTAGTTCCTCTCCGAGCAACTCCTTCCTTTCAACCTCTTTTTCTTTGTGCCCTACGGAGCCTTTCACCCTCCTATCCATCTCAAGTCGCTTGCTGAAGGCGCTTTTAATCTGTTTCACAGCTAGCGTCTACACACATCCTTCGTCGGCAGTCGGTGGTGACAGTTGAGGGTTTTTCAACTACCCTACTTAGTCGTAGAGGGGGATTCTTTAAAAGCGCGCAAGAATGACACAAGCAAGAGCTCGGCCGAGATCACGGAAAAGCGCACGAAGATTAGCCGTTACACTGCACGCTTCCGCAAGCTTCAGGCGGTCTACATGCCTGGAGCTTTGCAGGCGCTCGCTGAACGGCCAGCTCCGGGGCCGGGGAAGGAAGAGGAGGCTGCGTTAGCGGAGAACGTACCACTCTGCCTTCCATCTGCACTGTCGGAGGAGCTCCGGGCCTCTGGGTGCAACAAGAAGGTTGTGGATATCGAGACGCGTTTGCGCGACACGCAGTGCCGCAGCGCGCTCGATCAGATTCGCAATTACCTCCACGTCAAGTCTCGGTTTCGCACTTACAAAGGCGGCAACGTCCGGCATCAGGGCACCACAACTCGCGCGCGTAACCTGATGAATCGCAACGATGCGAAGATCAGGATGCAGGCCGAGAAGTATGTTGCAGCCTGGGAGGCCAAGCGAGCGCTCGTCGGGGAGGAGTTGGTGGGTTGGCGCCGCTTGGATCCGAAGAAGGATCTTCGGTGCATGGACAGCGAGGAGGACTGCGCGCAGGTAAGTAAACGGAAGATGCGCGGGAAAGCCAGGAAGCGCATGGCAGGGGAGGCCGCCACGACAGAGGATGTCGCTGATGGAGTTGCAGAGGGGCACGACAGGCGCACCTTTACGAGAAGATTGTGGCGCATTTTGAGACGATGTGGGCGGGGCTACAGGAATTGGAAGCCGTGGAGGGAGGGGAATACGACGAGGAGGGGGCGAATGAGGATCCCGAGGATGAGGACGAGCGCGAGGGCGCCGACGGCGAGGAGGGGAATGATGGGGACGACGAAGAGGGGGGCGATGATAACGTCGGCGACGCGGAGGAGGAGGGATCGGTGGGGGGCAGCACGAGCGAGGAGGAGGAGGAGGAGGAGGGATCCGCTTTAAGACTGTTATAGATGTCACGCTATGTGATGATTTGACAATGTGCTGGAAATGCCGACCACCGAAATAAGACGCGGCAATAATGAGGGTGATGAGATCTGACACCCCGACGCGATGCCGAGGGGCCTGCTGGCCCCGCAAGCGCAAGCGAAGGGTGCCGGGGAGCCGCCCAGGAGGCACAGAGATGATGTTCCCACAACCGAGGGATCTCGCGATATTTTGCAAAGTGGTCGTGGACCCTTCTCGGGATATCTCGCAAATGTAGTATGACCACAGGTGTCACGGCCAGAATTGTACACTGCTTATCACCGGCCTCCAGAATTCCAGAGGCCAATGAAACCAGGTTTTTCTGCAATGAAGGATTACTGAGTGTTTCCCGTTTTTTCCCGTTTTTCCCTTGTTCTAATTTTTACTTACTTCTCGAGTGGGCTTCACCGCTCTGCAACTTTGACTTGCGGCTTCATCTGTTGTGAGCCATCACATTGTGATAGCTCCCGACATGACCTCAAAACACCGAACTCCGAGAACAGCTGCATGTAAAAAAGCAACCTTACCCAACATAATGGCTCGACAGAGAATTGAACTCCGGACTTTCCGTCAACCAATATGTAAATGCTGCAGTTCCATGGAGCGCGTTACCACTATGCTACTAAGCCATCCAAGAAGTCGAACTCGATGGCCACCAAGGACCAACTAAAAATTGGCTAATGGCGTAATGGAACGCACTCCGACATGGTAAAGCCGAGCACCATCATTCCGGAGAGTCTGGAGTCATTTTTATGTGTTCCCATGGATCTCCTCGGAACAGTACGCGCGCTTGCTTGAGAGGTTAATGAAGCAACTAGAGAGGGGTTCTGACAGTGCTCTTCTGAGAAAAGGAAAAGGTCTGAATCCCCTGCTTGGTCGTGATGAAAGGTTTCAGAGATCCCACATAGCTTGCGTTTGCAATACGATGGAGCTGCACAGAGGCCTTTCTTAGTTCTTGGTTAGTCGATTGGTCGGAACTCGGTTTCGTCTGCATGCGGAACCCTAGTTCTCGGAGCACGTCTACAATATCTCTTCATTGTTCTGGAGCTTGGAGGCGCCATCACGTTCTGAATTCAATATAGGTGTGTCATTCTCGGAAGGTTCCATTGGTGGCTTCTTATATCATCGGATGCCCTATATCGTTCTCGGAGCCTCAGTGTTGAATGGCGTTCGTCGTGGATACAGATATTTGTATTGGTCGGACGTCACAAAGTGATGGCTCACAACACATCAGTCCTCCAAGTCCAAACAACACCAATCCAATGGCTGGCTTAGCTGTCTTTGGTACACCTCAGAGTCCTGATACAAGGTATATTCCTTTTGATTGTTATTCTCTTCCTCTTGATCCTAGTCTAGTTCCAGCTCTTCTGGGCAGGACAGCCCAGCTACTGGTATAAATCTTTCATCTAGTCTAGACTTGGCCCTGTTTGTGTAGGTGCCGCCTCTCGACTGAGTCTGTCCATAAGGCCTAAGCTATGTGACTGGTAGCTTTCCATTTGGAGCTCATGTTAGCCCTTGCATACAGAGTGTGTGTGCTTAGGTAAGTGTAAAAGTGTAAATCACAAAAACTTGTGATTACATGCATGGTTAGATTCACAGCTTATCAGCAAAGCAGTGGTTGAGCTTCTTTGTCAAGTCCAGTCCATCAATGGTGATATAGCCCTTACAACACCACTAGATCTCTGTAATTTGCTGCACAATTTCAAAAATGACACTTTGGCCGAGTGGTCAAGGCGATCGCCTGCTAATTATGGTAATTCCTAAGAGCTTAGCGGTTGGGTTTATCCCGCGTGTGTTCGAATCGCACAGGTGTCGTTTTTTTGCATCTTATTCCATTGATTTATATGTCCAGGCCAGATATTGGTGAGTCCAACACACAGCAGGTGTCAGCACAGATACTCAGCAGGTTTATCAACTTGAATTTGATAACTGAGTGACAAAGTGTGTGCTAGCCCCTGGGGGGGTAGTATGATGCTTCTAGCTACCACACTGGGTTTTTTTATAGAAGTGCTGAGCCAGGGGTAGATGTACTGGAGTGGTAGCATCATCGAACTATTAGTTGATATAATAGATAGATGCATTTGGGGTGTCAGTCAGGTCCAATTAATGAGAAGAGCTAATGGTCAGGAAAAGTAAAGCAGATTC